ATCACTATCGAAAGGCTTCCCCCAGACAGCGGCTGCCCCCTTAAGCCTGAGTCTAGAATTAATACATGTACAAAGTACCTGAGTGAGGAGCCAAGCCCTCCCGCCAGATCTGCAGCTTAAAGTAGAGCCACTCAGTTCAGCCCTGCCTAGCTCAGCTGACCTCCAGCTACCACAGCCTGAAGCAGGACCACCCATTAACCTGCAGATCCTTGAGAATAAACGATTATTTTTTAAGCCACTCAGCCTTGGAGTGGTTTGATATACAGCATCATTGTGACAACAGCTAACTGATACAGGGAATTCTAATGGGGTGGTTGGTGTGTCCAAAGCTGGATGCTATTGAATCTAATTATAGGGTCCTGCCAGAATATTGATTCAAAAGTGAATGAATGTTGTCACGGATTGAATTGTGTCCCCCAAAAATATCTGTCAGCTTGGTTAGGCCATGATTCCCAGTATTGTGTTGTTGTCCTCCATTTCTGATTGATATAATTTTCCTATGTGTTGTAAATCCTAATCTCTCCCTGTAGTTAATGAGGCAAGATTAGATTATGTTAAAGAGGATTAGGGTGGGATGTAACACCTTTGCTCAGGTCACATCCCTGATCCGATGTAAAGGGAGTTTTCCTGGGGTATGGCCTGCACCACCTTTTATCTTACAAGAGATAAAGGGAAGGAGAAGTGAGCAGAGAGTAGGGGACCTCATACCACCAAGAAAGCAGTGCCAGGAGCAGAGTGTGTCCTTTGGACCTGAGGTTCCCGGGCTCAGAAGCTCCTCATCCAGAGGAAGATTGATGACAAGGACCTTCCGCTAGAGCTGACAGAGAGAGAAAGCCTTCCCCTGGAGCTGACACCCTGAATTTGGACTTCTAGCCTACTAGACTGTGAGAAAATTAATTTCTCTTTGTTAAAGCATCCACTTGTGGTATTTCTGTTATAGCAGCACTAGATAACTAAGACAAATGTCCACTGTGAGGCAGTGTGGTATAAACTTTAAAATTGTGTACTGCAGAGTCATCAGTAGGCCTAGGCTCGAATCCTGGCTCTGAAAGTTATTACTTGTATTATGCTAACGCTGTGTCACACTGAGCAGATTTCTTAAGCTATACAAATCTGTTTTCTCATTTGTAATAACAGAATAATAGTAATAAAACTTAACTTATAAGCTTGTTTTGAGTTTTAAAAGAAATAGCATATGCAAAGAGCTTAAAAGATAGTGTGGGTCTAATATTTGGAAGGAGCCCTGGTGGCACAGTGGTTAAGAGCTCGGCTGCTAACCAAAAATGTGGGCAGTTTGAATCCACCAGCTGCTCCTTGGGAACCCTACGGGGCAGTTCTACTCTGTCCTATAGGGTTGCTATGAGTCAGAATCAACTTGATAGCAATTGGTTAGTTATTTAATATTTGGAAAATATTATCATCATCATTATCATCATCGTTATTACTATTACTACTCTGTGTGAAATCACCCTTATTTATATTTGCATGCCCACTCCATTTTCTGACATATGATAAAGTCAGTAAAAAAATTTATAAATGACAAAATGATAGAGATTAATCAGACACATATTAAGATATGTAACCTCATATATTTTTGAGGTAAAAATTCATCTTTATTAGAAAAGAAAATATGGTCCATTTTAAACATGAGGTGATTCCTCCCCTCCCCCCTTGTCTCCACTGCTCCATACCCTTGGCTTCCCTTGACATACATATTCTCCGCACTTACACACACACACACGCGCACACACACACGCACACTCCTTCCTGTTTGGAGCAGCAATACAATGGTCTCTGTAAGACAGTTTGGCCTTGGACAGGGGCGTTTCTGGGCTGCCGCCTGCTTCCACAAGTAGACTGTAACTTCTGCTCTGGATCCAGGATACTGGCCTCAACCTACGTCTGCCCAGCAGGTAAAAACCGCCACGATCAGGGCAGGTCCCTGATGGTCAGTGCCAGGCTTCTTTCCAATCTAAACAAGAATGACACAGAATTGGCAAAGGTATACCAAAAAAAAAACAAACCCCTTGCTATTGAGTCGATTCTGACTCATAACGACCCTATAGGCCAGAATAGAACTGCCCCATAGGGTTTCCAAGGGGTGGCTGGTGGATTTGAACTGTCGGAACCTTTCAGTTAGCAGCCGAGCTCTTAACCACTGTGCCACCAATAAACCTACTAGGGGACTGGAGCATGTACTGAATAATTTTCAAAACCACCTCTAAGGCCACTGTCATATTACAGTTCATTCGGGAAAACTGTCAATCCTTTAAGTGGGAGAGAAAGCTCTAGTTCTTCTGAGGCGAAAAAAAACTGAGACAGGGTTCTTTTCTCTACGGGATCTCAGTTGGGATGATAAAGCTTCAGGGAGAATAGGAGACACTCTAGCAGTGGTTCTCCAATCCTAAAATGCGTAAGAATCACCTGGAGGTCATTAAACGTCTAAGGAAACGTCTAACATGGAAGATAAAGACCAAACAAACCGAAGGAAAAAACAGCTTGAGGCAATCAGAGAACATGCAAGGAGAGAAAAACTTAAAAAAAAAAAAGCTGACTCTCAATACCCTTTGAGACATCAGAGATGATTTTTGCTTCCACAAAATATGAACAAGATGTTGTGAAAAGGTATATTTAAAAAACAAATCAACCAGAGGAAAAAAGCTCTTAGAAATAAAAGTGTAATAGCAGAAATTTAAAGTCAATAAAAAGATTACAGGATAAAGCTAAGGAAAATTTTTAGAAAGAGGGAAAACATATTTTAAAAATAAAGGACAATCCAGGAGGTCCAACATCCAAATAATAGAAATATCCCAAAAACTATTGCTGTCAAGTTGATTCCAACTCACATCAACCCTATAGGACTGAGTAGAACTGCGCCACTGAGTTTCTAAAGCTATAAATCTTTATGGAAGCTGACTGCCACTTCTTTCTCCCCCAGAGCAGCTGGTGGTTTCGAACCGCTTATCTTTCAGTTAGCAGCTGAGCGCTTTAACACTGCTTAACCAGGGCTTCTTAATTTAAGTATAAACTAGAAAATAAAAGAACAAGCAAATAGGAGAAAATCAACAAACTAGTTTTAGAACTAAAGAACTTGAGCTGCTGGACTGAAAGAGTCCACCTGGCCTAGCAATAAGGATGAAAACAGATTCACACCAAGGCATATCTTCGTGAAATTTCAGAACGCTAGAGGGACAAAAAAGATTCTACAAGCTTTAGGATTGCAAACACAAGTCACATTCAAGGGATCAGGAATAAGAATATCCTTGACATCTCATCAGCAATTTTAAAAGCAAGGAGAAATGGAGCAATGCCTTCAATGTTCTGAAGAAAAATTATTTCCAACTTAGAATTAAAGATGCAGACTCTTGGGCCCCTTCCATGACCTGCATTTTAACAAGACCCTGGGGCAAAGTTCTCAGAGAGAAATCAAAATAAGAGAAACTCCCTCTCAGATAGAAGCTGAATTGGATGAACAAGTTAAAACAGAATGATCTTAGTCCTAATATTGGCTGTGTGACATCAAGCTTGTTTCTCAATCTCTCTGTGCTTTGGTTTTCTCGATCTGTAAAATGGGAATGATAAACTTGGCACAGTGCCTAGATGGAAATTTAGGTGTAGTAAGTCATTATTGGCAGCCCTGGTGGCCCAGTGATGAAGAGGTATGGCTGTAAACCAAAAGGTTGGCAGTTCAAATCCACCAGCCGCTCCTTGGAAACCCTATGGGGTAGTTCTACTTGGTCCTATAGGGTCGCTCTACGAGTTAGAACTGACTCAACAGCAACAGGTTTGGTTTTGGTTTTGGCACTTTGTGAGAGCTGGGATTCCCAATGTCTTGCATGGGGCTTGACACAGTAAGAACTCAGCCAGTGTTCGTTTAATCCTTCGAATTTGCTTTTGCACTTCCAGTCAAAACGGATGCCTCAAGGCCAAGGGTTTTACTTTTCTCCTTTATCTCTACAGGGAAATTTTTTTTTCAAATACATCCTTTTCTGAAAATATATTTTTGGTCTCATACGTTGACTCCGAATCTGAAAAAAGACAATACAATCACACATTTTATTTCCTTTCCTAGAAAAAAAATCTCAATAGTAGAAATAAAAAACAAATTGAAAACAATACCCACTAGAAGTGAATCAGATTAAGAGATTTACTGAATAATCAGTGACAGCGCAAATGACATTTATCCATTTTTTACTTGGATTATCCAACTCCTTTGTATATAACATTCTCATAATTGCCCGTTTTCTCCATCCCAACATTCAAAACTATGCCAGCTCCCGCCTCCACCGGATAGTGAAGGGGTGGCGGTTCGAAGATCATAGATAAGTTTAACTAGTACTGTAAATCATTAATGCGAGATGCATCTTCTAACGCCACCTTACCGTTACCCAGCCCATCATATTCCCTAAGCCACGCCCCCACTCCCACAATGCCCGCCATAGGCGTTCCTCGCGACCACCTTCTCAAGGCCCCGCCCCCTCAAGCTTGTCAGCCTTCCCACCTCACACTGCGGCCCCGCCCAATTATGGGGGCTCGCCGCCGCAGGCGCCGCCCCAGCCCGCGGTGCCCGCCTGCCGGCTTGGCGTGCGTGTCAGCTAACGCCGCACGCCACTCCGCTTCCGCGGCTTCCCGTTGGCCGTGGGCACCGCGGCCGCGCTTCGCTCGCGCCTTGCAGTCAGGTCCCAAAGTCGGGCTCGTGTGGCGCGGCGGCCCGAGGCCTGGGCGGGCGCCGCGCCTTCGCCCCACGCGAAGTAGGACCCGAGGGATGGGCGGGCAGGTCTGAGGCCGAGGTCGCGGGAGGCCTCGCGAGAGAGGCGAGGGCGGCGGGCCGGGCAGGGGGTAAGGGCGGAGCCCAGGGGGAGGTCGCGCCCCTGGCGGGAGGCAGCCCCACGAGCCTGGGGCGGCTCGACTGGTTTGTTTGTGTTCCGGCGTCCGGTGGGGGGTGTTGTGTGGGGCTTGGACTAACGGTTACGGACGCCGACCAGGGCCCCGCTGCCCATGTGCGCCATCGAGCCCAAAACCGCCGGCACCGAGGACCGCGCCTGCTGGTCTCTCCGTGGCGAGGATCGGTTTGTTCAGCCCGTACATTTTTATTGCCCCTTGTGTGTGCCAGGCAGCCGTCTGGCGCCGAGGTGAGGAGGCGGTGGCGGCCCTGCGCATCCGAATGCTTCCCCGAAATTGGGGCTGGATGCCGAGGGAGGGGTCGGGAGCGTGACAGCTGGGCGCCGCCCCCTCCGCGCGACAGCATCGCGGCCTGGGGCGACGGGGAGGCTCCAGTCAGGCCGAGGAGAGCGGAGCCACCTGGACAGATGGCGCCTTCGTTATCCCCTGAAAGGCAGGAGGGAGGGAGAGCAGGGAGGGAACAGCGATCCCTAGGTGGACCCCGCCTATTTCTTTCCTAGTTAGACGTCGTCCTCGGAGAGGATGGAAGGGGAGAAGCGGCCGGCGCCGCGCCCGCCCTACGAGGGCCTGTTTGCCGACGGGCACCTGGTCCTGTGGACGCTGTGCTCAGTGCTGCTGCCTGTGTTCATCACCTTCTGGTGTAGCCTCCAGCGGTCGCGCCGGCAGCTGCATCGCAGGGATATCTTCCGCAAGAGCAAGCACGGGTGGCAGGACACGGACCTGTTCAGCCAGCCCACCTACTGCTGTGTGTGCGCGCAGCACATTCTACAGGGCGCTTTCTGCGACTGCTGCGGGCTCCGCGTGGACGAGGGCTGCCTCAAGAAGGCCGACAAGCGTTTCCAGTGCAAGGAGATAATGCTGAAGAACGACAGCAGGGCCCTGGACGCCATGCCCCACCACTGGATCCGGGGCAACGTCCCTCTGTGCAGTCACTGTGTGGTTTGCAAGCAACAGTGCGGCAGTCAGCCCAAGCTCTGCGATTACAGGTACGGCCTCTGTGGGAACTGCTTGGCCCAGATTGCGCAGTGGGAATGAGGATTTCATATAATGGGCGGAGAGGCCTGCTTTGATCTCTGCAAATGGCCTCAACTGGCCTCTTCTGGGTCGCATGCTAATAATAATAACATCCCTGGTATTGGCCAGGCACTGATGCGGGACAACTTTTGCTGATAGTCATTTGCTGAGATGATGCTTCTAGCCTCTGCTTCTCAGCCAGCCTGCTCTGTTGGGTAATAAAACTTGGCTCTTGATTTTCATCCTGTAGTCTCTTAAGTGCTCGTGCTTCACAGTCACTGTATATTATATTTTAGCTTTTGTTGCTGTTGATTTTCTCCATTTTACATGGGGAAAAGGAGATAGGGAAAAAATAACTTTTACCTAGAGCTGTAAAACTGATTCATCCTTGGTGTTGTACCATGAATGTACAGTGAAAACAAGCGTCATTCCAAGACAGCACTTTATACATCTTTTGCTAATATAGGTGTTGTACCATAGTGAAATATACTCAAGAAGTAACTATTCCTTTTGCCAGCTAGTCTTTCAGGACTTGCAGCATCTTAGACAAGAGTAATGGTATTGGTAATTAGTGACCTTGTTTGAAACAAGAGTGTTTTAATGGCTCTTATATACACACTGGGCAACACATGAGTGTTATAAAATACCATTTGAAAATAGGTGAAGGTGTCCTTTGTTCACGACACAGACTGGTAGAAGGGGGTGCTGCTTTGTAGATGATCTAACTCATTTTACTGATGAGAAAATTAAAACCTCATATATCTGCTCAGTGGTAAAATCGTACTGGCTTCCAGAATTTCTCATCCCCAGAATAGGGGTAGAAATACTGTAAAACCCAGTGGTACCTCAGCCTCAAGTCTCAACATCCTCATAGTCTTGGGGTTATCACCTGAGTTGTTGAAGAACTAATGAGGCCCAGAACATGTTTAAGAACTGAAATACAAAGCTGGCACTAGATAGCAAGTTACTTTTTTTTGCAGAAAGCCTTTTTTTTTTTTTTTTTCATTAGCATGGGTGCTATTATGTCAGCATCTGTTTTTGAAATTCAAATAATGTTAGACCTTACCAGATTTAGAGACATAAGAATAAATTTTCAAAATAATAGTTTTAAACAACTACACAGTTTTATAATCATTTGCATTTTGCATTTTTAAAATTCAGACTTTGCCCTTTTGGCATCAGCGAGAGCTAAGTTTCGTGTCTTTTAACAAATATCATAACTTTCTGTAGGTAAGCTTTAGTCTTCAAGAGTTGGGATTAGTTGGAAAGAAGACATGAATTGAGTATTGTTATTTTCCTTCCATTCTTTGTACTGAATTAAATAAAAATGGCTTTCTTAAATATCTTAACTGTATTTCAAATACTCCTTAACAGATAATCATAGTGTTTCTGATACTCCACCCAAATGATCTTTCTGAAAATGCAGATCTGACCCAGTTGCTGCTCTGCTTAAAACTTTTCAGTTGCTCCCCATCACTTGCACTGGTGGTCTTACCAGGTAAACCCCAAGCGCTTAACATGGTATGCCAGGTCCTACGCACTCTCTGGACCGTGCCTGCCCGCCAAGACTTACCTACCTCCACCTGCATTAAACTTGATGCACCAGCGACACCAGGCTGGTTCCTAAAAACATCAATCAGGCTTTTGTTTACTGCCGTTTTTCTCAAGGCTTACATCGCTGTCTCAGGTACCCTTCTGGCTAGCTTTTAGTCACTGCTGAAGACTCATCTCATGCCCTTTCCTCCAGAAACCCTTGCCTTATCTTGTACTCACCACTCCCCAGTTTTTTCTTCTTGATGATGCCATAACATACTAGTAGCATCAATATCACTTGGAAACTTATAAGAAATGCAGATTCTAGAGTTGGCAGATGTAGCAAATAAAAATAGAGGACACCTAGTTAAATCTGAATTTCAGATAAGCAGCAAATAATTTTTTAGTATATCCCATGAAATTCTTGGAATATACTTATACCAAAAATTATTATTTTTTATTTAAAATTCAAACTTAATTGGGCATGCTCTTATTTTATCTGGCAACCCTGGCCCTACCCTAGACCCATCACATCAGAAATTAGGGCTGGGGATCAGCATTCTGTGCCCTAACAGGCCCCACAGTAATTCTGAGGTTGAAGAACCACTGCCTTATCTGTTTCTGTATCTTTCTTGCCTTTTTAAAACAAACTCTATCTTAGTTATCTAGTGCTGCTATAACAGAAGTAGCACCAGTGGATGGTTTCAACAAACAAGTTTATTCTCTCACAGTTTAATAGGCTAGAAGTCCAGCTCCAGGGAAGGCTTTCTATCTCTCTCTGCTCTGAAGGAAGGTCCTTGTCATCTGTCTTCTCCCGGGTCTAGGAGTTTCTCAGTGCAGGGATCCTGAGTTCAAAGGATGTTCTCTGCGCCTGGCACTACTTTCTTGGTGGTATGAGGTCCCTGTCTCTCTTTGACTCGAGATACAACCTAATCTTGTAGATTGAGTCCTGCCTCATTAACATAACTACCTCTAATCCTGCATGATTAACATCATGTAGGTAGGATTTACAACACATAGGAAAATTACTTCAGATGACAAAATGGTGGACAGCCACATAATACTGGGAATCATGGCCTAGCAAAGTTGATGCACATTTTGGGGGGACACAATTCACTCCAAAACAATGAGCCTCTCTGTCCTCAATTTTGTGTCCTCCCCGTTGAGCCTCATTGAGCACAATGAATGTTTGTGATCTCCTTTTCCTAATTACATTGTTCTTACAGGTTACTGAGCAGTCTGTTCCCAGCACGCTGCACCCCCACCCGCCCCTAGGACTAGTCTCTGTAATTTAGGAACTGTTCAGGAGAAGAGAGCACAGTGTCCTGAAGTTGTACATATTCTGTAATGTTCTGAGCTGGTTTATTTTAGTCATCAATTTTAAGCACGATTGCAGTCTCCTGTGACCTTCTGTAGGAGTGAGATATTTTGGAAGAACAAAATAAATAGCTATTTGGAACCTTTGACACACAGGCCAGTCTGTCCCTCTCTGGATTTTATGCAGCACTGGAAAAGGCTCCTTCCGTGGCTGTATCACATTCTCAGGAAAGACAGAGATCTGGTGGCACAGTGGTTAAGAGCTATGGCTGTTGAGATCAGAAGGTCAGCAGTTCATATCCACCAGCCACTCCTTGGAAACCCTATGGGGCAGTTCTAGTCTGTCCTATAGGGTCGCTGTGAGTCAGAATTGACCTGACGGCAATACGTTTGGGTTTTTTTGGTATGAAGAGTGTTCGGTCAAAGCATTTCAAAGGGTGGTAATGACAGGTGATAACTGATTTTAAAGCCTACACCTGTAGCTGTTGAGTCATTCCAACTGCTCCATAGGTTTTTCTTGGCTGTAATCTTTACAGAAGCAGATCACCAGGGCTTTCTTCTGCAGCACCACTTGGGGTCAAAACCAAGGTTAGTAGTCGAGTCCAATCACTTGCAGCACCCAGGGATATCTGCAGTTTACTTGGAAATGTACAAAAATAAGATGGATTAATGGATGATTAGACGGATAGAAATGTGATAAAGCAATCACAGTAAGATGTTAATGCTAGAATGTAGGTGGTAGACACATCGGTGTTCACTGTGAAAAGTAGAAAAGCAAGGAGAATGTCCTTGTTTTTAGGCGATACTTGCTGAAGTATTGAAGGGTGAAGTGTTACGATATCTGCAATTTACTTTCAAACAATACAGAAGATGTGAGTTTACATCAAGAAAAAGCAAATGTGGGAGAAAAATCAGAGTGAAGGGTTGGTTTAAGGGTGTTCATTTTACTGTTCTTTCAACTTCTATGTAGGTTTGAAATTTTTCAAAATGAGACAGATGGTGAAAAGTAAAGATCATAAGCAACTACCCCATAATATGATTGCTGAAACTAAAATATCAAGACATTATTAATAAATTTTAATTTTCTCATCAGGTTTGAAACCTAGATCTAGTTGAATATTAAGTACAAAATAGGTAAAGAGAAAGGATCTCAGTTTTGTATATGGTATTTCTAAGGAAAAGTATATTAGATAATTAGTATTTTGGCTATACCTTCACAGAGCAAAATCTGATGATAGCACTCATCTTGGTTAACAGAGTCTTTTTCTGAAATTTATGAGGATTTAATAAATGGTAAAAGTGATGTCAGAAATCAGTGGGAATAGAAAACATTGTTTGCTCTTTGGTGGGGGAGGGGTCAAATCCTCATCTCACACTATACACCAAAATAACTTCCAGATAGATTAGTGCAGCAGTTCTTAACCTGTTGGATCATAGATGGATAAGCTTCCAGAAAAGTCTGACACTTTTATGAGATTGTCAAAGGGATCTATAACCCCAGAAAGTTAAGAAACACTGAATTAAAGATGTAAATATGAGTAACTGAATTGTGGGGAGGAATTACTATAGGCAAATAGTTCTCTAATTTGGAAATGGTAAAGGGCTTTAAAGCATTTAAAGTCAACCACAAAGTGAAATCTAGATCTGTCTATCAAAAAATAAAGTTAATGTACCTTAAAAAAGTAAACTTAAAACCGAAAAATGTTTGCAGTACATATGACAGTAAAGAGGTTGATAATCCTAAATAAATAATGAAAAGCGCATGCAATTATTAAAACTTGGTGAAAATGGTTATAGGACACAAATGAATTCACAAAGAAGGTGGGAAAATATTCAGCCTCACCTAGTGATCAGAAACCTCCAAAATAAACTTTTGTGCCTATCAAGGAAAAATTTAAATACCAGTGAGCAGTGTTGGCAAGTGTTGGATATGATGGACACCGTCCTTCTCTGCTAACAAGCATATCAAGAACGTGAAGAAAATTCATGTCCTTAGACTCAGTAACTTGACTTGTAAGGTTCCAAGGAAGTAGTCTCATTTATGTTTAAGGTTGTTCATCCCATTGCTTATACTTACAGAGCTAAAGAAACAATCTAGTTTTTTTAATTAAAAAAAAAAAAAGCAGAGGTATAGACACATGATATAATATACGTCCTTCACAAACCATAGTTTTTAAAAATATTTAATGGCACAGGAAAATAGTCATGATACAATGTGGGAAGAACAGCAGTGTCCAGATATATAGACATGATTTTCCTGTCCTTGAAAAACAGTACATGCATGCGCTAAAAAACAGTGTAAGCATATCATCAAGTTGAGAGTTACTGTCTCTGGGTGATTTTCTTTTATGTCTTTCTGTATTTGCTAAATTCTCAAGTATCAGCTGTTACTTATTTTAAAATACAGTTTAAAAAATGTATACAAATAGTTCATGAATATAATCTGATTTATAGAAACTCGAGCAATACAAAAGGATCTGGAGTAAAAAGTGAATGTTCCTCTTCCCGTCCTTCAGTCCCACTTTTCTTCCCAGAGGAAGCCAATGTGAAATAATTCCGCGGGTAACCTTTCAGGTTGTTTTCAGTAATAACAGACTGTAAAGTTAATGGTAGAGCCAAACAGTAGTTTAGCTTAACTAGTAAAAAAGGTCTGCCTTGATCATTGTACTCTTTTCAGAACTATCTATACGGGATCAAATTGACAACAGCAACTTGAAAGATTAGAAGGGAACTTTAGGGGGCAGTGAGTTTATGTTAATGGGGAAGGAACAACTCAGAAAAGGAGGATGAGAATGATTGCACAACTCAAAGAATGTAATCATTGTCACTGAATGGTACATGTGGAAATGGCTGAATTGGTGTATGTTTTTCTGTGGATATTCTTAACAACAAAAAATTTAATTTCTTAAATAAGTTAATGGTAGAGCAATAGGTGATGGATATTTCAGCTGCATAAACAGTTACGTTTATCAAGCTTAGTTGGAAGCAAGTATCAACGGTTTTTTTTTTTTTTCCCACAGCTTTCTCTTTAACAGATTATGCAGATAACTCTTCTTTCAGCAGTAACTAGGACTCCTGAGTAAATAGCAGTAGCAATTTAACAAATCTGAATGTCCAGCAGGAAAAAACAGCCTTACAATAGAAAGCCAACAGAGTTGACCTTGAGTGAAAGTGTGTTTATCCTCCCCCCACCTTTTTTTTTAAAATTCATTTCGTTATAACCATTATTTTCTGTCAGCCTGCTTTTGTCTGTACAGTCAGATCTACCTGATCTCTGAGAGGATTAAAGACTTAGCAGATTAATAATAGAAACCAGGGGCCTTTACCAGAACTATCCAAACATGAAGGCAAATGCTGAATATAAATGGTTTTCTGACTGTTTTTCAAATGCAAATCTATAAATTATTTTTGTATTAACTACCAACAATAAATTGACTATTTTACTTATATGGTTGACTAAAGTGTTGTTTGTGGACATTATAAGTTAAAAGACTTTCAAACTGGACCCTGAGGAACTCTTGAGGGGCCAAAGCCAGTGGAGCAGCAAGGACCTTAGGCTTCAGAAACCTATCTCAACCAAAACACACATAAATAATGCACAAAACCATTGTTCTAGACCAGTTTTTTTTAATGTGGATTGTATCTATTGATATTTACCATATTAAAAGTTAAAACTGAGAAACTTTTAAAATTTTATTTGTTCATTTTTTAAATAACGATAAATCTATTATATAATGTATTTTTATAAAAATAAAAGAAAATTTAGTGAGAAAAGAGACATGGTTTTACATTTTTGCACATCTCTTTTGCCTAATAGAAATTATCTGGATTCTCATAATCTGCTTTTGCATTCAGTCTGTTGAATTATCACATGTCCTATAGCTTCTGGAAATTTTCGCTATATACTTTTGAGAGAATGAGGGTGAAATAACATCTTAGTATTATTGTAAAACTGGTTTTGAACTCAGGAATCCCTTGAAAGGATCTTGAAGACCTCCAGGGATCCCCGGCCACAATTTAAGAACTGCTTTTGATTAAACTGCCAAGTACATTTAAACTTTATTGCTTTATTTTCACTGTGCAGCTATATATATCTTACTTACCAGGTTTTATGCCCAGTAGTGATAAAGTTATTGTTTTATTTTATTTTTAAAATGTGCGTTTGCAGATCAGTAAGATTATGGCTTGAAATTTAATTACTGTCTTTGTTTCTTCCTTCCCTCAGGTGCATTTGGTGTCAGAAAACAGTACATGATGAATGTATGAAAAACAGCTTAAAGAATGAAAAGTGTGACTTTGGAGAATTCAGAAACCTCATCATCCCACCAACTTATTTAACCTCCATCAATCAGATGCGTAAAGACAAAAAAACAGATTACGAAATAGTAATTAGAATTTATTTTTCTTATGTAATTGATTTAGGAAAGTATGTGTGTGTGTTTGTGTAAGTGAATGAGAGAGACGAATCAGGGCCGGGAATAAAGTAAACTGAGATAAAATGTCAGGACCAAGGAGGAAAATAAAACACAGTTATATAAGCCGTAAAGCCCTACCCAGAGTTGTGTCACAAATTTTGGCCGTTGAGTTATTTTGTGTCTAAAGGGAAGATGGAAATGCTAGGTTAACCTGTAAACGAAAACCCATTGCCGTTGAGTCTATTCCAACTCACAGCCACCCCACAGGGCAGAGTAGAACTGCCCCATAGGGTTTCCAAGGAGCAGCTGGTGGATTCAAACTGCCGACCTTTTGGTTAGCAGCTAAGCTCTTACCCGCTGTGCCACCAGGGCTCCAGTGTTAGGTTAGTGGTTTCAAATCACTGCCTACATCTGAATCACTTGGGGACTTTTTAAAAATACAGATTCCTGAGCTCACCTCTATCATCATTTTGATTTAATGGGTCTAGGGTTACGTCCCAAAAAGACATTGTTTAAGGTTCTCAGGTGATTCTGATGAGCAGCCAGGTTAGGGAACATCTGATCATGGTTACTGTCAGTGAAAAAACAGATTTTCCTCGCCTATTGTTCTAAAAGAATTTTCTCATTTGGAATTTTACATAAGATGCCCACAGATAAGTTTACCTCACACATTAGACCTGCCCACAAATAACTTTGAACATAAAATTTGTCAAGGATTTGCAGTATGTATGCATGTTCGTATTTCGATGCAAATGCATTTCACAGCGTTTATGTAGCTCTTAAGGAATGATCATAAAAATTTACAGATTTATTTAATTCTTAGATATGCCAAAGTAGTTGAACTATCTTATTTTGAAATTACGATTTTTCATCTTACGAGCTCTGTCATTATCCCTGCAAAGAAACAAGGCATTTAAAATTTTTTTATTTTAACATTAATGTTGCAATATGTATATATTTTTTAATTTTTTTGTTGTTGAGAATATGCACAGCAAAACATACACCAGTTCTACAGTTTCTACATGAACAATTTAGTGAAATTGATTACATTCTTTGAGTTGTGCAACCATTCTTATCTTCCCTTTTCTGAGTTGTTCCTTCCTCATTAACATAAACTCACTGTCCCCTAAGGTTCCTGTCTAATCTTTAGAGTTGCTGTTGTCGATTTGATCCCATAGAGTTTTTAAAAGAGCATAATGCTCCAGGCAGACATTTCTTTTACTAGTTAAACTAAGCTGTTGTTCGATTTTAAGATGACTTCAAGGGATATTTTTGGTTTAAGATTCAAAGATTATCTCAAAGCAGTAGTTTCAGGGGTCATCCACCATCCATGGCTCCAGAAAATCTAGAGTCCATGAGAATTTTAAAGTGTGTCCTGCATTTTCCTCCTTTTGATCAGTATTCTTGTTATAGAACCTTTGATCAAAATGTTCAGTAATGGTAACTGGATACCATTCAGTTTTTCTGGTCTCATGGCAAAAGAGTTCATGGAGGCAATTGGCAACACATTCCGTATGCTCATCCTGTTCCTGACGCTTCTCCTTCCTCTGTTGCTCCAGACAATATATATTTTTTAAATGTATGACTCCTTAAGTATCCGAAATCAATCTGAGGTTACAGTGGATGAAAATCACTGAGTAAAACCGTGAAATAGTTTCATTCACATTTAAATCCACAAGGAGAAAAGAAAGAGGAAAGAAGTAGTTGGTTCTGAAAAACATTAATTTCATCTGCCTTTAGGCTATGTATAAATGTAGATTCTTGGGTACCCCATTTAAAAAAAACAAATTGCAGATGAAAACACACTAGATTATTCATTGCTGTCTGGTCTATTCTGACTCCTAGTTATCCTGTAGGACAGGGTAAAACTGCCCCATAGGATTTTCAAGGCTGTAATCTTTATGGAAGCAGACTGTCACATCTTTTCTCCCGCAGAGCAGCTGGTGTATTCAAACCACTGACCTTTTGGTAAGCAGCCAAACACTTAACTACTGCGCTACCAGGACTCCTTACACACCAGAATACATCCAGAAAAGGACAACTCAAGTAGGAGATCAGATAAAATCAGTCTCCATTCTATGAACATTTGAAAGAAATTGAAATATATAGCCTGGGAGACAAGAATAATAAAAAAGATACAATGCTTCAGATGTTTGACCACAGCAATTGTTAATATGAAAGAAAACATGAAATTATTTCTAGTTGCTTCCAGAAGCAAAATTAGAACAATGAATGATTTTCAACTCAATTTAAGGAAAAGGTTTCTAATGGTTTGATTTAGCAATGAAATGAGCCGCCTTGTCAGTGAGTTCCTTCTTACGTATTTGAGCATATGCTGGTGACTTTTTAAAATAATGTAAAAGGGAATTATATATTAAGTATGAAGTTGCATAAGTCTGTCTCTGAGGTCCTTTTACATTCTTAGAATTCCTTGATTCTTGTATCATTTTGTTTGTACTGGTATGGTTATTGTCTTTTAGCATTACAACACTATTGTTATAGAACAAAAAAACTGTGCTCACCATCTCTGAGACATTAGTCTGTTCTCACTTCACATTACTTTTTTTTAGCCAGCCTCGAAGCTTGGAAAACAATGGACCCCATTAATAATCCTGGCCAATTCCCGTAGTGGAACTAACATGGGAGAAGGACTGTTGGGAGAATTTAGGATCCTGTTAAATCCAGTCCAGGTAACTAAAGACAAAATCTTCCTTTCTATACTAATCTTCTCATATTTAGCTTTTCATTTTTCCTAAAATACATCGGTTGTTAATATTTTAAATAACTAATCACCTGATTATAAGAAAGAATAATAATTATAGAAGGATTAGGGTAATTGAGGATGTAGAGAAAAAGGAACCGTCATATATTGCTGGTGGGGATGTAACATGGTGCAGCCACTTTGAAAAACAATTTGGCAGTGTCTTAAAAAGTTAACCATAAATTTACCATATGACCCAGCAATCCAACTTCTGGGTATCTATCCAAAGGAAATGAAAATAAAAACATGTACACGAAAGTTCACAGCAGCACTATTCACAGTAGCCAAAAGGTGGAAACAACCCAAATGCCCATCAACTGTTGCTGTTAGGTGCCGTCAAGTCGGTTCCGACTAATAGCTACCCTGTGTACTACAGAAGGAAACACTGCCCGGTCCTGTGCTGTGCTCACAATCGTTGTTATTCTTGAGCCCGTTGTTGTAGCCACTGTGTCATTCCATCTCATTGAGGGTCTTCCTCTTTTTCGATGACCCTGTACTTTACCAAGCATGATGTCCTTCTCCAGGGACTGATCCCTCCTGTCCAAAGTATGTAAGATGTAGTTCTGTCATCCTTGCTTCTAAGGAACATTCTCTGGTTGTACTTCTTCCAAGACAGATTTGTTCGTTTTTTTTGGCAGTCCATGGTATATTCAGTATTCTTCACCAACACCACAATTCAAAGGCATCAATTCTTCTTTGGTCTTCCTTATTCATTGTCCAGCTTTTGCATGCATATGAGGTGACTGAAAACACCATGGCTTGGTTCAGGCACACCTTAGTCTTCAAGGTGACATCTTTGCTTTTCCACACTTAAAAACAGGTATTTTGCAGCAGATTTGCCCCATGCAGTGGGTCTTTTGATTTCTTGACGGCTGCTTCCATGGGCATTGATTGTAGATCCAAGTAAAATGAAATCCTTGACAACTTCAGTCTTTTCTCCATTTATCATGATGTTGCTTATTGGTCCGGTTTTGAGGATTTTTATTATCTTTTTGTTGAGGTGTAAGCCCTGCTGAAGGCTGTAGTCTTCGATCTTCATCAGTAAGTGCTTCAAGTCCTCTTCAATTACAGCAAGCAAGGTTGTGTCATCTCCATAGTGCAGGTTGTTAATGAGTCTTCACCAGTCCTGATGTCCCATTCTTCTTCATATAGTCCAGCTTCTCGGATTATTTGCTCAGTATATAGATTGAATAGGTATGGTGAAAGGATACAGCCCTGACATACACCTTCCCTGACTTTAAACCACACAGTATCCCCTTTTTCTGTCCGAACAGCTGGTTCTTGATCCATGTACAGGTTCCTCACGAGCACAATTAAGTGTTGTAGAATTTCCATTGTTTGCAGTGTTATCCATAATTTGTTATGATCCACACAGTCGAATGCCTTCGCGTAGTCGATAAAAGATAAAACACAGGTAAATATCTTGCCCATCAACTAATGAGTAGATAAATAAAATATGTTACATCCTGCGGTGTGATTGATTGCTGATTGATTACTTTTGTGTGGCCTTTCTAGCCATGGTCTTGTAACTCCCACCCAGGTGATTGGGCAGTACTGTGTGATAGGGTAATCCAAAGGGATTGGTCAGTTTCGCCTTAAAAGAGTCAATTCCAGAGCAGAGGAGAGGAGCCCACCACCACCAAGGAAAAAGAGACCTGCAGGAGACAGCGCAGTGGGCTTCCCAGCCCACAGAGCAAGAAAGCTGAGTGCCTTTGGGCAGAGACTGAGGGCCAGGAAGAAGCCTATGCCTGACCCACGAATTTGGGACTGGCCAGCCTCCACAACTGCATGAGCCATTTCCTTTATATGGTTTGTGAGTTCTGTGAGATGTCGCAGTGAATTAGGGAACCCAGGGACAAGAGGGAGAGTACTGAGGAGAGAGGGAGTAGTTAGAGATGATGGAGTGGTACAGCAACTTGGAAAAGTTGGACATTTGGGACACCTTTAACCTCTGCTTCATAGGAACCGGCTTTGTGCTGATCCTTATAAAATTATTCGTTTACATCCATCCAATGGAATACAGGCAGTCCCCGGATTTCAAACCAACCCCCGTAAAGCCTATTATATTAAAAATTTGAAGTAAATACAATGATTTGTAATAACAAACAGGTGCTAACTTTGTGACACACATCAAAACTTTTTTATTATGTTAAAGATGTTTTAGTGTACTTGGGAGTGTTTCTCTAATATTTTTTATGCATAGAAAAGTGCACTATATACTATATAGTAAGACAAACATTTGAGTAATTGACTTTAGATATGAACTATACCCAACTGTTCCAGCTTACATACAAATTCAACTTAAAGACAGACTTAGGAACCAAACTTGTTTATAATCCAAGGACTGCCTGTACTATTCAATAAAAAGAAATGGACTACTGATAACATGCGTGACATAGAAGAATTTCAAAAACATGCTAAGTGAAAGAAGCCAGAAATAAGGACTCATGTATTGTTTCTCTGAAATGTCCAGAAAAGACAAATCTGTAGAGACAAAAAGTAGATAAATGGGGGAGCTAGGGCTGCGAACTGAAAATGGGCATTGGGGGCTCTTACTGGGGTGATGAAGATGTTGTAAACTGCTATATGGTGGTGACTGCACAAGTCAGTAGACTTACTAAAAATCATTGAACTGTGTATTTTAAATGGGTGAATTTTATGATATATAAATTGTATTTCAGTTTTTACAAATAAGGAAAAGGATCATGCCATTGACATTAAGTTTGCATGCTAGCAACTTTTACTTTGAAAAACCAAACGACCTATTGTGCAGTAATCAAAAATGTAGTAGCTTTTTTCCTTCCACTTTGTGTTTTCTTTTCCACTTTCAACATTATACAGCTTAAGGAAATTATAAAAATAATAAAAAAGTAAGGAAGATAAAACACCTGCAGTTTCCCCATACAAATGCATCAGTGGTTTTCATTTATGTTCTTTCATGGTCTGTGCGTTGATGGCAATGCATAGACAATGATTTAACATTGCTGTAACAATAATCTAAATTTACATTTTTTTTACTTAATGGTATAAACATTTTTCCATGTTGCAACATAGTCCTCATAGTTACATATTTAATAAGTAGAATAATTAAGTGGATGGATGTATCATAATTTTATATATCAGGTCCACTGCCTTTGAGGTTGAGATTGTTTCCAAGATTGCACTGTTATAAATAATGCCACAGTGAACACCTTTGTACACAGGGCATTTTTGTCTTAGGAAATATTTTCCTAGAATCATTTACAAAATTATAAATATCAAATGTCCTTTAGTTTTTATGTAATTTTATGCATATTGTAAAATTATTTTCCAGAAAGCTGTAGTGATAGTTTTAAAAACCAGTATAAAATACAAAACACTGGTTGGAGATGTACTTAGCCCATTCTGGTTTCATGTGAGCAGGAAGAAGGATGCAGTGTGGTAAAATGGATGGACTATAGTTTGAATTTGTATTTCAGCACCTAATTATCTGGGGAATCATAGGCAAGTTATTTAACCTCTCTACACCTCGGTTTCCTGGTCAGTAGAATGAGACTAACTTCTGCTGTGTAGGGTGGGTATGGGGATGAGCCACAATGAATATATATGCCTGGCACGATGTTAAAGGTAGGTACAAAATAATTGGTATTGTTACTCAGCTATTTCTGTACTCATCCAGAGGAAAATCATCCTCAGAGATGAAGGACAGTGTTAAATATTTTTTCTTCTTTCATTTCTAGGTTTTTGATGTGACTAAAACTCCTCCCATCGAAGCTCTCCAACTTTGTACTCTTCTTCCCTGTTACTCAGCTCGAGTACTTGTTTGTGGAGGGGATGGGACGGTGGGCTGGGTCCTGGATGCAGTGGATGAAATGAAGATTAAGGTATCAGTCTTTAAGAACTAACTGCCTTTCACAGAAGCCCTTCCAAAATTACTATATAATATTTGTTATCTTTTTATTATGCAGATGGCTATTAGAAGACATTGCCAATTTCTAATAGCTAAGAATGATATATTTATGACTAAGCAGCTAGTATAACCTTTAACAAAACAAGAGTTGGTCATGTTGGTATCTATTTCTTTTTAAATTTTATGAGATCTTTGCATATGTCATAAATTACATACATTTACATATTTTTAGATTACAAAGAGTCTAAAGAGAAAATTCTAAAATGCATCTTTCATATTCTAGGGACAAGAAAAATACATCCCACAAGTTGCAGTCTTGCCTCTGGGAACAGGCAATGATCTATCTAATACATTGGGTTGGGGGACAGGTTATGCTGGAGAAATCCCAGTCACACAAGTTTTAAGAAATGTAATGGATGCAGATGGAATTAAACTCGATCGGTAAGTTATGCTTCCCCCAAAAGTAGATTTCTTAAGCTTTGGGGATATTGTTTGGTTTAAAAATGAAGACTCATGTAGTTATAAAGTTTAATGTAATTTAAACATAAAAGATTATGTTAGTTACACACATAAATCCTGGTGTCATTGTTTTGTTGTTAAATAAAGGCCATAGTCACAAGTCATAATTTTGGGTGCATATCCCAGAATTTACGTGCCCACTTAGATGGGGTTATCTTTTCAAATGCCATTTTCATAGAAGATCCTCATCGATAAGGCACCCAGAATATAGTTTATTTGGTTTTAAAAAAAAAAAAACTAATCTTTTTTTAACGTCTGTTTTTAGATGGAAAGTTCAGGTAACAAATAAAGGATACTACAATTTAAGAAAACCCAAGGTATGTTTTAAGTGCTTTCAGACATGAATAGTTTCCACAAATGTTCATGGAATGCCTTCACTGTTCAAGATGTGGCACTGTGTGGTGGGATCCAGAGATGCAGTGCTCATCTCTGAGGAGCTTGTTGTGTGGCAGAAGAGATGCCCACGTGCTCAACGCACAAGTTGGGCTGTTAAAAAGTGCTGTGGGAGGATGATGCAGACGTGCTTGGTTCTGCCATGGCAGGTCAGACTGGGCATATTTCACAGGAACAGAAAAGCATGTGAGTTGGTCCTTAAAAAAGGTAAATAGAATTTAGATAAACAGGGAAAGGAACAAAGGACTTTCCAACCAGAGGAAATAGATGAGAGAGTACAAAGCAGATAGACACATTTGGGTGGCACATGTAGGAAGAGGGGCCACTGAAGGACACTGAGGGTGTAGTGAGAAAACAGTTTCAGAGAAGACAGAAAGAGAGGCAAAGAAGATGAGTGATAAACAGCAAGATAAGCAGACTTGAGAAAAGCGCATTAGGGGAACACTGAAAATATGCATTTGTCTCTACTCTTCCTTCTCCCCACCACCCAAATCCCTCTAACATGGTGATCGGGATTTTTAAAAGGCATAAACCCTTAAGAACAGAGAGAATGGGACATGAGATGATGACAGTAGGCCAGAGAGGCCAAAACCATTTGGACAGTAGAAGCAAATAGTGGTAACTAACAGCGTCCCGGGGAAAACTAAGATGTTAAAAGCCTGCAGTGCAGAGAAGTAAAGTGGAAACCAGTTTGTGGCAGAACCCAGCAGGGGCTTAGGAATTAGAATCACCAAATAACTCTGAAGGCAGGATGTAGGATGGGACTGAAAATAGAAATGATTATGTAGTCAAAGAAGCCTTGGCCTCTAGGTCAGCTCCCCCTTCCGCAACCTCAGGCAGATGGGAGGTTTGCTCTGGAAAGTTTAAACTAGAGAGATTCTGGACTCAGGAATACCAAGCCACCTAAAAACAGGGATTGAGTAAAAGGTTCACACATTGCCCCTTTTCATCTGCTCAGCTTCCATAGAATAAGTAAACAGTAGCAATAACCAATAGCCTGGGTTAGGACAGAGGGAAGCTAAGAGTCTGATGGTTGCAGTGAAGGTGAAAAGCACGTGTAATGGGAACACAGGAGTGGAAAACCTGAATGCGTAGGTTACCATCCTAGAGTAGAGCCATTCTAGATGATGAGGGCTGAGGTGTGGCAATATTAAACAGAAACGTGAAGAGAATTTCCTATCTATAGTTATTGGCCTTTGAACTGAAGCTTTATTTCTGGCGTTTTCACTATTGTGTGCCGTCGAGTAGATTCTGACTCATAGCAACCCTATAGGACAGAGTAGAACTGCCCCATAGGGTGTCCAAGGAGCAGCTGGTGGATTTGAACTGCTGACCTTTTGTTTAGCAGCTGAGCTCTTAACCACTGCGCCACCAGGGCTCCTGGCAGTTTCACTGGACAGTATAAAATAGCTTTATACGAAAAAATGAAAGGAGAAAGTAATCCACTTTCCTAAAGAACGTAAGATTTCCCTGTTTAATATATGATGCAGTCTTGGACTGAAACGTAGTCTGTTACTCACTCACTCTGTTCTTCCCAGGAGTTCACAATGAACAACTATTTTTCTGTTGGACCTGATGCTCTCATGGCTCTCAATTTTCATGCTCATCGTGAGAAGGCGCCATCTCTGTTTTCTAGCAGAATTCTTAATAAGGTGTGTTGGATAAAATAACATTTCCTGCTTATCACTGAAGGTACAGTAAAAATCAATAGTTTGATTTTTTTAGCACTCTTTCAAGTATATTCAGATTGAACTTGTTTATAGAAACATTCACCTGTTCTGTTTTGTGTAAGACTGTCAAATTAGATCCTTAAATGTATTTTATTAAGGCATTTTATAACTGACAAGTTTTTAAAAATTCAGAGTTGGAAGATTTACGGCTTATTTTGCTTAGATGGCAGCCAAATGAAATACAGTTTGTCTTAAATGGCAACAAAAATTGGAGGGAAATTTTAGGCAGAATAAATTTTTGGTGAAGACATTAATGGAAAAATAGATTCTCCTGGCTTGGAAAGACTCTAAAAGACAGATGAGGTAAGAAAAGGGGCAGCTTGTTTACCATGGCTTTTGACTAAGGTCATCTCTGGTTTCTGGTATACTTGATCCCTTTGTTTTGTTTTGGAATTTTTTTTAATGACTTTTGGTGATTGAGCAGTAGGATGTGAAAAATAAATGCAGAACAATTTTATTCCTGGTTCTGTTTTACAGGTATTTCAAATTTACAAAGTGTTCCCTTTTATTAATATAGTTACTAAGGCAATAAGTACTGATCTTTATAAAGTTAGTAATTAGCTCAACATGTCTGTGCTTCCATCAGCTTTTTTGTATTCAAAATTGATTGTAAAATGTTTGCTAGATTTACCTGCATTATTTCTATTAAGAAACCCGAAGTGTTAGGAAGAAGTGAAATTTTCTAATTTTAATATATATTTTAGATAAATAACCTGGGAGAAAACACCATTTGAAGAGGAACCACTGCTGTTGCATGTTCCTCCCAAAAAACTAAACAATTGTGGCCTTTATTGTCATTTCTACAGAAGAGGGATAGTTAACATTTCATCTGCTGTACCAGCGTTCACCTAGACTTTTAAACCATTAATAGCATAATAGAATAAAATGTAAAATTAACGATTATTTTTTAGTTATATGTTTTTGTTGCTGCCACTAGGGGGTTCCTGTATTAACCTGTAAAATTTTAGGGTGTCGATGTTGGATGGGGCCAGAGGTTGCATTTAAAAAAAGGTATCCCTTTTGGTGCCCCTTCTTTCTGTCAGTATCTTGCCCACTCTGAAGACACAGGAGTCAACAGTCGTGTCAGAGAGCTGTGGTACAGTGTGTTTTTCTTAATGTTTATGGGGCTTGTTAGGTTTTTTTAATAACATTTTCTGTCCATTTTTCATAGGCTGTTTACTTATTCTATGGAACCAAAGATTGTTTAGTGCAAGAATGTAAAGATTTGAATAAAAAAGTTGAGGTAAGCTATTAACATCTTTTCTAAAGTTAATTTAGGTGGTCTTTGGATTAGGAAGTGTTTTTTAATAAAAATGCTGAGTTTTCTATTAATGTATTTTACTAACATATTTGGAGTATTTATTGCCTACCAGGTACTTTGCGAAGTGTTTTATACATGTTATCTCCATAAAGTTTCACCACAGCCCTGTAAGGCATGTACAGAATATTCTGTCTTATATTCTCATTGTATAGAAGAGAAAACTGAGGTTTGAAATTAAGTAGTTTTGCCCGCATTCCCATAGTTAGTGACCTAATCAGGATTCACACCCGGATTTCTGTAACTCCAGAGTCTGTTGTTGAACGCTTTAGATGCAGAGCCTCCATTCATAGGTGGTGGCGAATTTGAAGTCATATGACACATTGCCAAACTCATCATAGATGCTTAGAAGACATTTCAACCCATAGTTTAATTCAGATTACATTTGTGGTGTATCTCTCTTACATACTAAAGTAATAAATATATAAATGGTAAAAATAGAATACTAATGACTGTTTTTTGCTGCAGTATCCCTGACATCATGATATGGAAAAGTCTTGTCTTTATTCCATGCTTGCTTCCAATAAGAATCTGTAATGATTTATAGCAGCAACAAAGACTTCAATACAGAGAAACCTAGAACTAGTAAAATAAGTTAAAAGGGAAGAGCCAAATGATAAACAGCTTGGGGAAAGAGTGGGAAAAAATGACCAGGAACAGAGGAGCCTGACTATACAGAAAGCTGCTTTGTTAGGGACACGCTTAGCAGGAAGCCTCCAGGCAGCCATGGTACAGATGGGCTCGCAAGATTTTCCAGAAGAAGAGTTTTAGTCTACTTTATTATTTTTCCTTTTTCCTGGGCTTTGATAGCATTGGTAGGGTGAAGTATACAAACCCGTTGCCATCGAATCGATTCTAACCATAGTGACCCTATAGGACAGAGTAGAACTGCCCCATGGGGTTTTCAAGGAGCGCCTGGTAGATTCGAACTGCTGACCTTTTGGTTAGCAGACAAACTTTTAAGCATACAAGGTAGCACTTTATTTTATTGTCTGATATTTATTCATACAAAAATTATTTTTGAAGCCACCTACAAAATGCCAGGCACAATCCTAGGTACTGGAGATACAGTGATAAATCCCTTGCTGTCACTAAGTTTACAGTCTAGAGAAGGACACAAACCACATTGCAGTGAGTATGAGAAGTGATATGATAAGAAAATGACACAGTCTTATAGGAATAAATAACAGCAATACATAACCCGAGAGGCTGACTTTCTAAGGGAAAGTGACAGTAACAAAGAAGTCTTTCTGGAAGAAACGATAAGCTGGAATCTGAAAAGTAAGAGTTAGCTGAGTGAAGAAGGGGAAGATTGTTCTAGACTAAGAAGGCACAGAGTGCAGAGGCCCAGAGACAGACAGAACTTGGCATATTCCAGTGAGCCCAGGCAGAGCATAGCTTGCAGGAGAGAAAGTGGCATGAGCTGAGGCTGGAGAGGTAAGCAGGGTCTGAATCACAGAGGGCTATGTTGGCCTGTTAAGGAACTCGGGTTTCATCGTGAGTACAAAGTCAAGCCATTGAAGGAATGTAATTAAGGGGCAGCGTATTTGCATTTTATGTCAACTGCTGTGTTAGGGATGAATAAGGAGATTAAGGCTAGAGGCAGATAGACCAGTTAGGAATATTTTAGGAAGGAGATAATGGTGCTCTGGGCTAGGGTTATAGATATTTAGAAAGTAGCGTTAGCTGTTTTTAGTGATTGATTGGATGTGGAGGGTAAAGGTGAAGAAGTCTAAGATAACTCAGGTGTCTGGCTTGGGAAGCTGAGGAGATGGTGCTGCCATCTCCTGAGAAATAGGCAGGGGTTAGGGGATGTACAGAAAAGAGGCCTAACTCAGTTTGATTCATAGGAGTTTTAGGTGCTGCAGTCAATGAACGTGTCTTATAGGCAGTTAGATATACGGATCTGGGCCAGCAAAATAGATGTAAGAACTGTCAGCACAAAGATGGCAATTAAAGATGTAGAAATGGCTAAGCTTGTCCTCTTAGAGTCTATAGCATGAGAAGAGAAAGGGGCTTGGTACATAGCTATGAAGAGTGTCATCAGCATGAGGACAGACAGGAAGTGGAGTCTTCAATAGTGAGGAGGATCCTCTGGAGAAGTAGGGCCTGTGGTTCCCAGAAAGCAGAGAAAGAATATTTCAGGAAAAGTGGGAGCAATGTCAGGTGCTACTGAAATAGCAAGTTAGAAAGGGCCTGAAAAAACTAATTGGGTTTAACAAAAGGACATCAGTCCTTGATGAGAACAGTTCTCCCGGTAAGGTGGGAAAGTCCGGATTACCAAATGAGAGGTAGAAAGTAGTCTTCTCTTGCTTGTTTTTTATTGTACTTGCCCCTCTCGTCTTCCAGAAGTGGGTATAAAAACAGAAACAGTCTAAATGGATATGTCTGGAAATACTGTGCCCTCTGTAGTAACTTACTACTTGTATTTCTTTAAAGCTAGAACTGGATGGTGAGCGAGTAGAGCTGCCTAATTTGGAAGGCATTATAGTTCTAAACATTGGATACTGGGGCGGTGGCTGCCGACTCTGGGAAGGGATGGGAGATGAGACCTACCCTCTAGCCAGGTGTGTACCTTTGCAGTCTGTTTTTTATGTCACTGTTTTCTTTAAGAGGCACCCGGGTAGTGCAGTGGTTAAGCACTCAGCTGCTAACCAAAAGGTCAGTGGTTCAAACCCACCAGCCCTTCCATGTGAGAAAGATGTGGCGGTCTGCTTCCATAAAGATTATCGCCTTAGAAACCCTATAGGACAGTTCTGCTCTGTCCTTTAGAGACGCTGTGAATTGGAATTGACTCAACGGCAGCAGGTTTGGTTTTTCGGTTTTCTTTAAAGTAGTCTGTTGTTTCTTAGGGACTTTAAAATTTTTTTTCCTCAATTTTTCTTTTTTGTATACATCATTAATATAAATACAGATATGTACCACATAACGTCCGACCGCATATACGTCTGGGGTCTGGCCCACAAGGTTATAATAGAGTTCAGAAATCCAGATCAGAGAACTGGACATAGCGGAGGTACTTTGCTAAGTACTGTAGATCCTTTCTGTCTCTCACTACCTCTCCAGGTCCAGTTCAGCCCCGGCCCTGGGGCATCAGGGGGACAGGGTCTTGGCACCCATCTGAGCCTGCCTGTTCGATTGTGTTCATCTCAGACAGGGACCAGCAGACAGTGCTGGAGCCACCAAGGGTGATGCCACACAAGGCCACTGCCCCATTTGGCCAGGGCACCCTGCATGTCACACCCAGCCTGAGACTGCGGCTTCTCCCATGGTGCCACCAAGCAGTTCGGGCTGCGGGGGCGAGGCTGGAAGAGTTTAAATTCCGTGAGGGTGGGTGAGGAAGGAAGGGAAAGGAGCCTGGAGGCCGCAGGCTGGACTGCAGATGCATGCCGCAACAGGGGCAGGGCGCTGCTCTGGAGACTGAGCAGAATCCACGCAGGACAGGCAGTTGGGGAGCCTAGGTTTTTGCATAGTCACTCAGCACAGCAGCAGCAGCGGCACAGGTCTGCCCCTAACCATCCCGTGTGCCTCTCTCCTGTGTATAAAACTCTGTTCTCACAATATCCAAATCACATAACATCCTATTTTATAGAATATATCGTGGACGTTAAGTATGCATACCTATAGTTAGTAAGCTGATGATCAACCTATGTTAAAAAGTACTGGCCCTAATACGGCTGATTTGATTTTATTGCATCCCAGGATCCATATTTCCTTTTTTTTATTTTAGACATGATGATGGTTTACTGGAAGTTGTTGGAGTGTATGGATCTTTCCACTGTGCTCAGATTCAGGTGAAATTGGCAAATCCTTTTCGAATAGGACAAGCACATACAGTGCGGGTAGGTGGAATATTGCTACAATGGGCTAATTTGTCCCAATTCATTTCTGAGTCCTTGATATGTAGAAGAAAATATACACGCTCCATCTGTCCTTAAACAGTGGTTTACAGACATGCTGTTGGTCACCCTACACCAGCGATTTGGGTGGGATGAGGAAGAAACAGGAAACATGGCTCTTGATTTCAGTTCAAGAAATAAAGCATTCACTGAAAAGGAGTCCTTTAAAGCAATAGATGAATAAATATATATTCAGATTAATTTTCTAAAAATGAAATGCAGAAGGGTTAAGGGTCTATGGGTGGGATTATTAAGGAAGACCTCTCTGAACTTTGATAAATTGGCTTTTTCTAATTATTTGTTCCTCGATGCCAGCTGATTTTGAAGTGCTCGATGATGCCGATGCAGGTGGATGGTGAGCCATGGGCACAAGGGCCCTGCACAGTCACCATAACTCACAAGACACATGCATTGATGTTATATTTCTCTGGAGAACAGACGGATGATGAGGTCTCTAGTACTTCGGATCAAGAGGACATAAAGGAAATTGAATAAACGGATGAAGAAACAAAACTTGCTATGAAATCCAAACAAGTAGATACATATTCTTCCAAAATTAGGAGCTCTCTCTCAGCTATTCACTTGTAATTTCATCAATAGTGTAATGGGTATACACTTATGTAAATAGCATTCCAAAAACAACCAAACTTTCAGTTATTTATAAAAGCTTGTTGTTTTTAGCAGAGCGCTTTGATCGTATAGTACTAACTTTTAAAAGTCCTCCAAAGTTACACTGAGGTCAAATGGTGTCTCACGGTCCTCTGTTTTGAGAGTGAGACACTCTCTGAAGTTGCACCGGCTCCTTCCTTGTTATGGAACCAAACGGCACATTATGCATCCAGCAAAATGCGAGTGGAAAATCACTTTAATGTGGTGACACCGTAGTAGTTTTAAAATTAACTTGTTTTTTCTTTTTGAAAGGAAATAGTTAATGTCAGAGCTGCCTGGTTAATGCTAGCCTTCCACCTGCAGCACGCCTCACGAAGCCAAACACTGAGAGATCCATGTGTACCAACTGCCCAGAAACCCTGAAAGGAGAAATTTAAAAGAAAGCCAGTACTTAAATTTTTAGTGTAATTTTTATTTTCGGATCACTTTCAGAGCCCCAAAAGTTGTTTGATTAACTCTGTTAGTGACCATATTGAGTTGAATTTCAGGATCTTTTTTATAATCCCTGTATAGCCGAAAGAAAACCAGCTAGGTGAATTGGTAAAAAATTAAGATTAGGGGGACTTTGTATTGAAAATTACAGCTTCCAAGCTAGGTAGTTCATCAGCTGCTCTTTTGATTAAAAGACAGTGTCAACAATTCAAAAAAAATGTGCTAAAAGAAAGTTACTAGTTAGATTAATTGCTAAAAAAATGAATGATTGCTAAGTTTTAGAAAATCAGTGGTCTTGTATTTTGAAATACTTAAACCAAAAAACCTGTTGACATCGAGTTGATTACGACTCATAGCAAGTCTATAGGAGAGTAGAACTGCCCCATAGAGTTTCCAGGGAGCGGCTGGTGGATTTGAACTGCCAACCTTGTGGTTAGCAGCCTATCTCTTAACCACTCTGCCACCAGGGCTTCATCTTGAAATACAGTAGTATTTTTTATTGTAAATTATTTGATAGAATTGCCCCCCTTGGTCTGGGGTTGAGGAGGGAGGTGTACAGAATCCTTGGCTAAAATGTTTATTTTAAAGTGAGAAATATGCATATTTTTTTACTTATTTATTAATTGCCCTGTGCTGTGATACTTGTGTTTAAATGGTTTTTGCAATATATAGTTTTATTTAATAAGTTACTCAGATAAATTCTGCTAGTCAAAATCAGATGGAAAACCTATTGATGAAGTAATTAAAGTCCGTAATTTAATTTTCCTGAAAGATGTATTATCCAGATAGTCTCACCCTTGAGAAATATTCCTCAATCTTTTTTTTTTTTTTAAAAAAAAAAAAGGAACGAAAAGCACTGGCAAACTACTTTTAGACAGCTGAATTTTTTTTTCATTGTTTTGTTTATCCTTCAATTGCTAAGTATTGAAAGGCTAGTTTCATAGTCACCCACTAGAGGGTGCTCGTCTGTTGTTGTTAGCTGGCCTGCCCTGATGCCCTATAGTTAGGCAGACCCACTGGGCATCCAGCCTGGTGTTTTTCTGACAAATGGCCTGTTTGTGGGCTTGGTGGTCTTTCGTGACATTAACTTCTGAAAGATTGGAATGTATCCCCAAAACACCGTTAGCTTCCCTCAAGAATCTGTTATGGCTCTTATCCATGAATTTCCATAAACTTAAAAATGAGTCACTTTTATGCAGTAATCAGTACATTATGTAAAATATTTTTATTTCACTTAAATTAACCTCTTCCAGGTCTGAGCAAGTGATGCTAATTCCAGTATTGAAAGATTGTGTGAGCAGATCTGTTTTCACCTTCTTCATACCCCTCTCCTGGCAGGTAGCCTTCTCCTGTAGTGATGGGAAAGTTTGGTAGCTTTTCCTTTTTATGAGCAGATCATGTTTTGAGTATAATTAGATTTATCGTTTTAATTCATGGTCACATTTTTATTTTATAAACATACTGTTAAATTCACTTTGCTTTAGGTTGTATTTTACCTATAATTCATAGTGCCAATTATAGAAGCAAAGTAAGTAGTTAATTTGGGATATCAAAACTAAAATAGTCAAAATAACTACAGTTTTTTTTAATTGCTGAAACTACTTCAAGCATAATGTTAAATTGGATTTAGTGCAGGTTTATGTACAACTCCCTCATTTATTTAAGCAAATTGATTATTCATTTATAATCCAGTGAGACTTTTTTTTTCTTTCCAACCCTTCAGGAAGTTTTTCTGCTGCCTTATTCACGCAATTAAACTTAATTTTTATTTAGGAAATTTATTTCAGAATACCATATCACAAAACACATCTTCATCTTGATTTCACAAACTTTACTTACTTTTTTTAGGCACATTTACCCAGCATTTCAAATAAATGTATAGGCATGTGCCTTGTATGAAATAAATGCAATTTATGAGATTCATATTTGCAGGTTATATATTAGGGTAACAATTGTTTACCTTACTAGAAATTCTATGCTTTACAAAATAATTTATCATAACATTTTCCTCTTCTATTTTAAACTATCTTGATTATTTTTTTTAAGTTCAACATTCTCAGGAAGAAATACAAAGTAAAGCGTATCTCCATATCTGTTTTCATATCTCTCTCATGTTTCATTATCCTAATACTTTCCTAACTCCTTTTACACTTAGTGGCTTAAATACTGAATACTTGGCAGCTCATATAGATTTCATATGATGATTCTCAGTGCTTTATTATGTTTAATGTAAACCAGACTGACTTGCGTTTTAAAATACAGGTTTTCTAATAGTAAAATTGTAAGATCTTAAATGTGTTTTAGGTTTTCTTCTACAATTAGCTGTGAACCCTTAATGTAGCTAATGTTTATAAAGATTTTATAGTCAAGATTATTTATTTATTTTTTTTTAGAGTGTCATAAAATGTTCAGCATTTGCTTTTCGAAATACGTTTACTTAGTGTTGTATACTGTGACTTAGATGTTGTAAAGTCCTTTTTGCACTGTAAAAATGAATACTACAGCATGTCAAAAGAAAAGCAATTTGCATTTTCAATGTAAAGTGAAATTGTATTTAATGTATATTATGAAACTTTAAATTTGCACTATCTAGAAAACTTTAGAAACTATATTAATTTATAGATTAATGTGGATCCGAATACATAATTTGTACTTGTTCAACCTAAAAGTTCAGTAGAATGAGTGATTGATAGTTTTGTGTGTTTTCCCTCGAAATCATAATACTGAAGCAAGAACCAGCACTTTATATTCAGAAATGTTTTTTAAATTCTACCTAATTTGATATAATGGAATGTAGGTAGATTTATGAAAAGTATCTAGAAATTTCAAAAGTAGTTTTGTTACTGTATCTCAGTCTGGATGAAGATACATTCTCAGCAGCAAGATGGAAGAGGTTGTGCTTTGTTTTTGCTTTTTAAAAGCTGCCCCTTTTCTCAGATTTTCCTTTAAGGCCTATGTCGTATTTCTCAAAGTGTAATCTGCAGGTTATCTGCAGCCCCCAGATCATCTGGGGAACTTACTCAAAGTGTGGATTCCTGGGCCCAAACTCTGACTTAATGGATCAGTGTCTCTAGGGATGAGGCATAGAAAGCTCTGTTTGTATCAACAAACACCTCAGGTGATTCTGATGCACTCTGACACGTGAAAGCTACTGGTCTGTACCTCCTGGATCACCCAGGCCTTTTGCCAGATAGATGTCATGCAGACAAATTGAATTAATTGGATGTTCTTAAAATTGTATTTCTCCCTACTAACTGCGCTCTTCCCCCCAAATTATTCTTTTAAAAGAACTGTGAAAAACTTGTTCTCATTTTATCCAAATTGACGTATTTGTCTAAACTCTATTACACAGAAGTTGGTAGCCTCGGTTTCTTGTGTGACCCTGTGGTTTTTGGACTGTGGTCCATGGAGTCCCGGTGGTCTAAGGCCTTGCTTCCTGGGCTAGTGGAGTAGACTCCCAAGGGCAGCGAGCAGTGGCAGCTCTGCTTTCTCACTTCGGCCAGTGCAGCTCCACTCTTCTGAATTGGGGTGCTGCTGAGGAGAAGATTTCAGTTAATAAAATACTACTTAAAGAAGTTCCACTATTTTTGAAAGGGAGCTTGGAAGCCACTATTATAATGACTCTGTCACCTGTTTACTTTTCTACTGATTTTTATGTATTCAGAAACCTGATGATTTTTGGTGAAGAGAATATTTTGAGGGTCTCATTCGCTGCTTGGAGTATTGCTGCTTGGAATATTGCCGCTTGGCATAAAAAATTCACAGTTTTTAAAGGTATTTTGTTGAATAGGAAAGCAAGGTCAGCCTCTGTTCCTTGTGTTTCTAATTTTAGTGTAGAAATGGTCTGTGTACTTGATTTTAGATGATGTAAATACACACACGTACACATCTGTGTGTGTATGTATAGGACCCCTCCCCCCCGGTGGCCCTCAGTACACAGCCTATACTGTGGACCTGCCACTTAATTACTCAGTGTTGATTGCTTTTGTAATGTTGGGTCTGTATTGTGGTCGATGCCTGCAGACAGAGAAATGTGAATGAAAGCATTTTTTCTTTCCAACCTTTCATGAAGTTTTTCTGTTGAAGATGTTTGCTTGTTTTTTAATAAAATTTTAAAAGTACAGCACTTAAAATATGATCCTGTGTCGTTTTGTGACACAGATAATGAAGTCAAATAAGCAGCTTTGAGTTAGTTTCACAGAAAACAACACTTGGTTTACAGCAAAACAAGATTATATTATGTGGAAGGTTCTAGATCAGATACTTTTGTATGGAAAGGAGAACATCAAAATTACAGTGCCAGCTTTTGTAGCCTGGGACACAGAACATAAATGAACAACACTTAGGAGAAACATACATTCTCGTGTTTATAGATTAGCTCAGTGTAGAGTACAGAAGTACCAAGGAAGAGGAGAATGAAATAAATGAAGTGAATTTGCCTCATGGTGCAGTGGCTAAGTGCTCGGCCACTAACTGAAAGGTCGGCAGTTCAAACCCACCAGCCGCTCCGCGGGAGAACGATGTGGCAGTGGACTTCATATAAGATTTACAGCCTTGGAAACCCTATAGGGCAATTCTTCTCTGTCATGTAGGGTCGCTTTGAGTCAGAATTGATGGTAGTGGGTTTTAATGGAAGAGTGGAAAGAGTATATATTTTAAATAGCTAGGTTGAAAACCCAGCCTCTGTCACTTACTGGCTGTTTAACATTGAGCAAGTTACACGTCCTGCCTGAGCCACAGTTTTTCTTTGTAAAAATGGGAGTTAATGCCCACCTGAGGGCTTGCAGACACAAATGCTTACAGGAGTGAGGCAGGTGGGAGTGATGGGGTCTGTGTAAACTAGAAAGCACCTGATTATTGCCAGGGAGGAAAGCAGGCCAGATGTGAACAGGACTGACTTTTCTAGGCATAACATTTTTTATTCATTAAGTATTAAGAGAAGGTGATTTTATGGTCCAGATTCATTCTGTCACCTTTAACCAGAAGTCCATTCTAACCATTTTTTTAAATTTAAAATTCATTGCTCAATTGCCTGCTCTTTTTAAATGGACAATGTCAAACATAACACACCTTGTTTTGATCAATAATTTTAAGCATGCAGTATCATACTTGGCAGTGATGCCCACTCACATTCATAAGGAAGGCTCTGTTATTAATAACCCCTGAGGGTCCATGTCTTCACTTAAGCAGCTTCAACACACATTCGGTATTAGGTGCTTTTACTTTTATTTCATCATAATCTGCAATTCTGCAAAATAGATATTGACTCCACTTACAGATTAGTAAACTTAGAGCTAGAAGTTGACCCCAGGTTACCATTTTTGCAGTCTTTTCATCATCAATACAACCACTACCATCAATACAACAAAAAAATTTTTTTTTTTTCCTATTGATATAGATGTGTCACTGCCTTGGGCACTAGGAATGCTAGGGTGTGTGACACAGCCCTCAAAGTACATACAAGGAAACCAACCGGTCGTACGCTTACAAAGGTAAACTACTCGAGAAAGGATTTCAGAGATTTAAATGAGCTGAAGGTTTTACACATTGCCTATAAATAACTTACCTTTTGGAGGGTTTTGGGACTAGGAAATAGAAACAGCTTTTTTTTTTTTTCCATGTGTGATTAGTTAGAAGAATGTAAATTAGTCTGTGTGAAAGCTGTGTACCCTAAGCCACTTAAGGGCAGGAGGTTTACCTTAGCCAGAATTAGTACATATTTGCATATCTTTGGTGAAGATCCTGCTCTCTGTATGATTGAGCACCCACACTGCGGAAGTTAACATTCAGCCTCCAATTTCCAGCACAAAGGAGGCACTCAGTCTTTGAATGAATGAAGTGGCTTTGGCCCCTGCATTCACAGGGCAGCCCTGGCAAACAGCAAGGCTATGTGTTCCAATAGCATGCCTGCTATGTCTCCTACCCCACTCTCTGAAAGGACCCACCAAAGCCTCTGCCAAACCAGTTGCCACCCAGTTGATTCCGACTGATGGAGACCCCATGTGTGTCAGAGTAGAACTATGCTCCATAGGATTTTCAATGGCTGATTTTTCGGAAGTAGGTCACCAGGCCTATCTTCAGGGACACCTCCGGGTAGACTCAAACTTCCAATCCTGCTTGTAAGCACCTAGAAACTCATACCTGTGCCAAAGGGAGGTGTTTATACCTTGTGATCACCACCCCTTATGCTTGCAGCTGATTGGACCGGGAGAACCTCAGTCAACTGACCAGCAACAAATCAGATTCTTTGGTGGGCTTCATTTCCATGATACGCCTTTGTATCCTTTATATTACTTAAATTATGGCCCAGGGACTGTTTGTTTCCAGTCCACCAGGAAGTAAGTACAGAAATTGAGAGTGTTTAGTAATTTTTATAGTGATTTTGAGAGTTGACCGTTCAATCATAAAAAGAAATTGTGAGTTGTCTTTTGGGTGTCTTTTTTCCATTTCATTTTTTTCTTTATAATGTTTTACAAAAATGATACGTGATGTATTGGGGAAAAAAATAAAAGACCTGTTTCTTCACCACAGATAGTTTGAGAAGCACTGCTTTAAATAACATGCTTAGTTCCTTTTGGGAGAGTATGGAGCACAGCTTCAGTGAGTTTCTGTTCCTCATAAACAAATAAGCTCTGATTGAAAGGTTTCAGGAGCTTTGATTTAGTATGGTGAGAGGAGCAGGGACCTTCAGTGTCTGATACCAAAACCTGTGTCCATGATTCAGGTAATGACAATGGACTTTGGGCCAACAAAACACTCAGACAATGAGAGGGAGGGGGATATGAGAATAATCTTTTAAAAAAACCAAACTCTTTGCCGTTGAGTTGGTTCCAACTTATAGTAACTGTATAGAGCAGAGTAGAACTGCCCTATAGGGTTTCCAAGGCTGTAATCTTTAAGGATGGATGTTTCTTCTCATTTTGAGTCATGCCACATCAGCAAATGAAGTTTCCTGAAAGCTTTAGTCCATCCATGTGATTAAGGTCAACACTACTTTGAGGAGGCAGCTCTTCCCCAGTTGTATTTTGAGTGGCTTCCAACCTGAGGGGCTCATCTTCCGGCACTCTATCAGACAGTGTTCCACTGCTGTTCGTAAGAAGATTCCCTTTGGAATCTTCTGTTCAGCTCTTTTACTTCTTCATTTCTTCCTTTTGCTTTAGCTACTCTTTGTTCAAGAGCAAGTTTCAGAATCTCTTCTGACATCCATTTTGGTCTTTTCTTTCTTTTTAATGACCTTTTGCTTTCTTCATGTATGATGTCCTTGATGTCATTCCACAACTCATCTGGTCTTTGGTCATTACTGTTTAATGACTCAAATCTATTCTTGAGATGGTCTCTAAATTCAGGTGAGATATACTCAAGGTCATACTTTGGCTCTCGTGGACTGGTTCTAATTTTCTTCAGCTTCGGCTTGAACTTGCATATGAGTAATTGATGATCTGTTCCACAGTTGGCCTCTGGCCTTCTTCTGACTGATGATATTGAGCTTTTCCATCGTCTCTTTCCTCAGATGTCACTTTGATTCCTGTGTATTCCATCTGGTGAGGTCTACAGGTATAGTTGCCGTTGATGTTGGTGAAAAAAGGTATTATCAATGAAGAAGTCATTGGTCTTGCAAAATTCTATCATGCAATCACCAGCATCATTTCTATCACCAAGGCTGTATTTTCTAGCTACTGTTCCTCCTTCTTTGTTTCCAACTTTCACATTCCAATCACCAGTAATTATCAGTGCATCTTGATTGCATATTTGATCAATTTCAGACTGCAGAAGTTGGTAAAAATCTTCAATTTCTTCATCTTTTGCATTAGTGGTTGGTGTGTAAATTTGAATAATAGTTGTATTAACTGGTCTTCCTTGTAGTCGTATGGATATTATCACTGACAGTGCTGTACTTCAGGATAGATCTTGAAATGTTCTTTTTGACGAATGCAACGCCATTCCTCTTCAGTTTGTCATTCCGTACGTATTATACTGGGAGGAAATGCTATTCTGGTGTATTCAGAGAACATTGTGTTGGCCAGGCTGGCAAGAAGAAAAGGTTGGTTCAGAGGATTATCATAGAGCAAAATCATGAAGCCTGGATACAATTGAAAATGAAGAGTTTTATTGAGGGACTAGAGATAGCCACAGCACAAAAGAACATTGCAGTGGGGAAATGTAGAGTCCCAGCAAATGAAACACATGATTCCAAGGGGGAGCAATGGGGGTACATGGTTATAGAGCTGGAGGAGGAAGTACAAAACAATATTCTGATTGGTTACAATGATTGAGGTCAGTCAAAAGCAAGACAAAGTAAAGCATTATCTTTGACATTATTGGTTACATGAATGCATTGACTGGTTAATAGACATAATTGAAAGACATGGGGTCAAGTTGGTTACAAAGCAATGACATGATGGAAATTTTCAGGAATGGTTTGTTAAAAATTACCTTGCTCAGAGCATTAGATCTCCAGAGAAGGGTGGAAACAAAAAAGTTTCCATGATACATTACCTTGCCCAGTGCATCAGAAACTGGAGGAGACTGAG